CTCACACACAAAACAGTCACTCACTCACACACACTCACACTCACACACACAGTCACTCACTCACTCACACACACAGTCACTCACTCACTCACACACACACAGTCACTCACTCACTCACTCACTCACACACACTCACTCACTCACTCACACACAGTCACACACATATACTCTCTCAATCACTCAATTAACTTACTGACTCTCTCTCTCTCTCTCTCTCTCTCTCTCTCTCTCTCTCTCTCTCTCTCTCTCTCTCTCTCTCTCTCTCTCTCTTTCTTTCTTTCTTCTTTCTTGCTTTCTCTCTCTCTCTCTCTCTCTCTCTCTCTCTCTCTCTCTCTCACACACACACACACACACACACACACACACACACACACACACACACAACACACACACACACACACACACACACACACACACACACACACTCAACACACACAGTCACACACACAGTCACTCACACACACAGTCACTCACTCACTCAGTCACTCACTCACTCACAGTCACTCACTCACTCACAGTCACTCACTCACTCACTCACACACACACAGTCACTCACTCACTCACTCACACACACACACACAGTCACACACATATACTCTCTCAATCACTCAATTAACTTACTGACTCTCTCCTCTCTCTCTCTCTCTCTCTCTCTTCTCTCTCTCTCTCTCTCTCTCTCTCTCTCTCTCTCTCTCTCTCTCTCTCTCTCACACACACATACATACACACACACACACACACACACACACACACACACACACACACACACACACACACACACACACACACACACACACACACACACACTCATTCTCCCTCACACATACACACTCACTCACAAAATCATTCACAAACTCACTCACTCACTCACTCACTCACTCTCCCACTGAGGCTCCCCGGCCGCACCTACTGACCTTCCTCGTCGACCCACTTGACGGTGAAGACCTGGCCGGGCTCGAACTTGCAGATCGCCCGGATCTCCTGCTCGAGCGCCTCCACCTCGAGGGCGGGGGGGATGTATGTGATGTACACCTCCCTGGGGGCGCCACGGGGGAAGGGGGGAGAGGAAGGGGGGTACACGGTAAGTACATGCACTTTGGACATGCAGGGTAAACACACATTCAAAAAAATGTAGTTGTAATACATCTCAAAAGTACTGCAAAAAGGTTTATGCATATTTTTTTTAAGGGGAGGGGGCTATTTAAAGACATTCAAAATTTACATCTTATCTTTAAAAAAAAATGAAGTATATCCAATTATACTAATAATATTAATACCGTATACTGGTAATTATTGACAATCATTCCAAGAGACAATCAAATTATTACACATAACAATAAATATATACCAGTCCTGACAAATACAAAATATTGTATGTATAACTTTAATCACTGGGCAAACATAGTTAGCATGCAAGACGAGACAACAAAATGCAACATTTTAAAACATATGCAACACTTTAGACTTTATAAAGAATACAACTTGTCATCAACTTCAACACAAAGCATTTTACAAGGGGGACCTCACACATAAACATCGAAAACAGATAAACAACATACAAAATAAACCCCCAAAAGGCACTACTACATCCAGCCATCATCAACTCTACAACTCTAAACGTCGAGCAACCTACAACAAAACAACCAAACCAACAAAACAAAAGGAGGGAGCCAAGGTAGAAAGATTCCCCGACCCGCAAGCCATCTGGGCCCAAAGGTAAACAATTCACGAAACAGGTGGTCGCGGTCGTGGCGGCGAGGGACCGGCCGCCGTCTACTACAAAGACCCACACACACACCTACTCGCGCGGATTTATGCAAACACAGGGCCGAGCCGGGGTGAGGTGGCGGGAGAAGAGGGGAAGGGAGAGGGAGAAAAGGGGAAGGGAGAGGGAGAAGAGGGGAAGGGAAGGGAGAAGAGAGGGAGAGGGAGAAGAGGGGAAGAGAGAGGGAGAAGAGGGGGAAGGGAAGGGAGAGGGAGAGGGAGAAGAGGAAGGGAGGGGAAGAGGGAAGGGAGAGGGAGATGGAAAGGGAGAGGGAGAGGGAAAGGGGAGGGAGGGGAGGGAGGGGTAGTGGAGGGCTGTGAAGGGGGAGGAATGGGTAAAGAGGGGTGGAGGGGGAGGGAGGAGAGGAATAGGTATGAGGGAGGGGGAGGGGAGGGGGAGAGGGAAGGAATAGGCAAAGAAGGAGTGGAAGGGGAGTGAAGCGGAGGAAGGGTGGAAGGGGAGGCAGACGGATGAAGGAATGGAAGGGGAGGAAGAGCGAGGAAGGGGAGAGGGAGAAGAGGCAGCGTTGCACAACATGCTTTGCTCGTGACCAAACCGCCCACTCACCTTGCACATCACTGACTCATTCATTTACTCAGTCATTCGTACATAGACACGTTCGCCTGTACACACAAGGCCAGACATGGACCCACATGGACACAGATACACGCACACGCACACTCACACACACACACACACACACACACACACACACACACACACACATACACACACACACACACACAACACACACACACACACACACACACACACACACACACACACACACACACTCAACTCACTCACTCACTCACTCACTCACTCTCCCCTCCCTCCTCCTCCCTCTCCCTCTCCCTCCCTCCCCGCTCCTCTCCTCATCAACGAGGCACTCAATCACGCCATCACCCCCTCTCGCCCTCAGCTACTCCATCAATTACCCAACCCTCCCACGCGCCGGAACAGCTGTTGTCCCCGGCCGCAAAATATTCCATGAGAGCGAGTACGCCATGGATGCGCGTCCCTCGGGAAGACGACATCCCTGAAGAAGCGGCCACAGGTTTTTTTTTTTTTCTCCTCTCTCTCTCTATCTCTCTCGTCAGTCGACCCGGGTTCTTAATTCCTGGCCGTTTGTACCTGGACGTGTTATTAATTCTGAACATTTGCTATGCCGTTATTTTTTAGATATCTGAACTATTTTTCTGAACCTTTTTTTATAGATATTTGACATTTTTTCTGAGTTTTTTTTTTTAGATATTTATAGATATGTGACCAATTTTTCTGAGCTTTTTTATAGATATTTGACCCATTTTTTCTGACCTTATCAAAGTTATTTTTGGACGCCTGATTATTTTAACTTTTTTCAGATATACGCAAAATACTAGAAAATATATATCGTATACTGATGATAAGAACTGACATAAAATTAGAAGTTTAGGAAACGAATATACGAGCACTGGCTGAGAAAGTAAAAAAAAAAAAAGACGATCATAGAAGTAAAGAAATAAAGAATCGGATGAAGCGACAATCAGAAAAGAAAGAATAAACAAAAGAAAAGAAAAAAATACAAAGCAAATAAATCAAAAAGAGAGAACAACAATAAGCGAAAGAGAAGAGAAGAAGCGTGAGACGAGGCAGGGAAGGGAACACGAGGCAGGGCGGGGCGGGGCGAGGCGGGCCGGGCGGGGCGGGGCGCGTGCGGGAATTCGGATGAGTAACAGTTGCATTCGCACCATTGCAGATGCAAGGGGACGTGGCCGCCTTTGTGCGCATTCCGGCGACGCGGGGAAGGGTTGTGACTGAATTTAGAATGTTGCGGGATGAAAGACGGAGCAAGGGAAGGTTATTAAGATAATAAGTAACTAATAGCGCTCCCTTCGATGATAACGATAATAACAATAGTAACAACAACGATAATAATACAACGATGATAATAATAATAATAATAATAATAATAATAATAATAATAACAATAATAACATAATAACAACTGTCGCCGCCACTACTCCGAGTGCGTGCCGCGTGCCCGAGCGCCTGCGTCTCCCAACGCAAGCAGAGCCCGTGAGCAAGCAAGCGATCACACCGGGAAGGGAGGGGGGGGGTAAAGCAGCGCGAAGTTCTCCTCCCGGAACCTGAGCCCGGGCTACTTTACGGGACTGACGTGGGCGGCCACCTGATGCTCTCCCCGGCACCTCCCTCCTTCCCGCCCGCGCATACCTGCACCCTCGCGCCCTTCCTCCCTCGCGCCCTGGCATCGGCCCGCCCGCGCTCGCCCCGCGCCGCTCCATTTGGCGCGAAAAGCCGTTAGGAAGCATCGCTACCTCTCACGCCCTCCCTTATCCCTTCCTTCCTTTCTCCTTCCTTTCCTCTTCTCCTCATTCCTCTTTTTTCTTATCCTTCCTTCCCTCCCTCCTACTCACCCTCCATCCTATCCTCCCGTCCCTCCTTCTCGCCCCTGTTCTGCTTTCCTCCCTTCCTTCTTCCACGATCCCTCCCTCCTTCCTCCCACCCTACCCCCGTCCCCCAACAAGTGATGACGGACGCTTCCTCAAGGCAAGTGTGGCCGACAACCCTAACCGACAATCCTAACCGACAAAACCGACAGCGAGAAGGCATCGCGCCGACTCCGCTGAAATGTGATCAGTGTCGGAATGCGAACACCTGCCCGACAGGTGCGCGGGGACACTTGCAACGGCGCCAGGTGTGCGGGACAGGCGAGGCGGCGGACCTGTCAAGCCCCGTCTGGAAAAAAAGAGGTTTAACGAACGGATTGGAGGTCTAACGACTGGCATAGGGTTTAACGAATGTCTAAGAGGTTTGCGACTAAGAAGTTTAACAAATTGCTTGAAGGTATAACGATCAGCTGACGTCCGATGTAATGATTGGCCGACCGGACGTGTGAGTGGATGCATGATGCAGTCAGCTGACGTGCTGACTGGGCGCGTGGATGGGGGATGCTGGCGCGACTGGCTCAGCGAGGGGGTGACTGACATGCTGACTGGCTGATCTTCTCCTCGGGTGTATGGCAACGTGGCTGCGATGATCAACGGCTGGATACATGTCTTAATTAGAATAATCTATCTCCAAGTTGAAATTCCGAAATAACTTCAAACCGAATTTAAAAAGTGATACGCTCGCATTTCCTTCCGAATAAACCCGACTGCCTTTCTCCGCGGCTCTGCTCGTCTTCGGGGCACCTCGCCCTACCCAAGCCGCCATTTCCGTCCTCGCAAAACATTACCGAACGAGAAAAGAGCACGCTGGAAACTGCACCGAACCGTAATTGGCAAATATCTGCGAGACGAACTGTTTAACATTTAATGAATTATTAAGCAGGCGCCCTGGACCTCGCCGCGCTCTCCCCCAAACCTCTGCTCGGATCCAAAAATCCCCACTTCGGCACCCGCTGCAGCCGAGGGACGTCTGAGGGATCAACAGGCGCGTCGGACGAGGCTTGCGAGAAAATGTCAGGTAAAAATGGGAGAGGAAGAGAAAGGATATCACGAGGATGTTTTGATGTCCTAGATGGCCCTCGAGGCGGCACCTACTCCGAGCGGGGACTGCAGGTGGATGCTCGGCCAGGAGGACAGCCAGAGCACCGTCCTCGCATTTTCGTCTGCTTGGAGCTACTAAGGCGACAGCTATGGTCGACATCCCCGCGTAATTTGCCGCCGATTCGCCCATATGACTCCCCGCTCCCGACCGTTAGTAGTATAAACCGCGCGGCGCACCTGACGCCCTCCTCCTCCCTCCTCCCTCCACGGCTGACCGCACCGCATAACGTCGTGGTTGTGATGCCGAAGCAGAGCGGCTTTCCAACGCCTCCCCGCCCGCGCACTTCTCTCCGCCCGCACTCGCGCCCTCCCGACACGACTACCGATCCCAAGGAACTCATCTCGGTCTTTCCCTCTCAAGTCCCCTGCAGTTCGACCTGGGCGTGGGGGCCCCAGCAAGCAAGCAAGCACAGGCGGCTGAGAATCACGTCCGCGGCACCTGGCCTTGGCTCCGGCCTCAAACCACTCCGCATTAATGTTTATATCAGGATTAGGTGTGCGCCTCCCCCCCCACCCACCCCCATCCGCTTACCCTCCCACTCCCCTTAGGCTCTGTGCCCTCCCCGACCCGTGCTCCCTCGCCCGCTCTCCCCTCTTCCCGCCCTTCGCTTTCCCCTTTCCTTCCTTCGGCTCTCTGTCTCTCGCCCGCCGTCTCTCTCCACCTCTCCGTCACGCCTCCCTCTCCCTCGCTCCCCTTCTCGTGCCGCGAGCGCGAGGGAG